GCTCATCAAAGGCATCAAACACTTTGAAGGCATCCTCTACCGTCTGTTGCATGACTGGCGCATAATGACGGACAGCCTTTGGTCCGAATGCGGGAGGGAGAAATTTATGGGCAGTTCTCCATTCAGGTGTGTCGGTGTCGCCGAGGAACACACCCGCCTCCTTGTTTTTGATTGCATGAAGCGGATGGGATTCGTTGATTTTCTTAGTAAAGAAATCACTTTCCGAGAAAACAATCGCACTGAGTTCTGGGTCGTTCGTGTGGTATACCGTGCGGCCGTAATTAGTAGTCTTGAAAAGAGGCCCGTATTGCTCAAACAAGCGCTGGTGGTTGCCCAAGTGATCGGGATATATTTCAAAGAAATTTCCAATTATCGGAAGCCCCTTTGGCCCCGGGACCTCCCTCACTGGTTTCCCATCAATGGCGATACTAATTGGGGTTTCAGAAGCGATGATCTCAGCCACACTGGTGAAGACGGCGTCTTCAGACTGAAAGCCAATGCCTAAAGTAGTCAGCTTGGAGGTGATTCTGGAAAAGGACAATGAGAGATAGGAGGTTTGGTACCATTGGGGTCAACTATCGCAAAATGCGCAGCGATTAGGTTTCTAAGTCCATCATAATCTAGCGATGAGTCCACTTCGATCTCTCGAGCGGTTGCCACGGGCTCACCCAGGAGATGAAAAAGCTTTGCAGACATGATTAGAGTGGTTGTTAGAAATCTCTCGACGGGCGGTTGGGGAGAATCTGCCTGCCAAGGGTCACCGTAGAGCTTTATAGAGAGTACGTACTATCTCTAATAAAACTACCCTGATGCGACAGACAAATCAGGGCGAATGACCCAGACTGACAATGAACCCACATAGACCGGTCATGGTTTTCGCTATCCACATAGCACGAAATGGAAAGGTTTCTAGTTTCAGCGATAGTGCACGAATCGCGTTCATTTCAAAGACAATTATGCGCATAGACATTGAAGGCCTCGGTGCCTGCCTCGGTTGTTTCGTGAGTCGCTATCACCGAAAACTCGAACTAACTGCAAAGAAGACAACGATCGCCACCCCAGACCCACTGGCTAAGGAGTTTCTGCCATGAAAAGGAGAAGGCTATGGCAGGCTCAAACCAAGAGGTGGGTGGCTTCATCGGCTACGCCGTGCCGACCCTCCAGTCGGGCCGTTAAGCGTCAGACGTGGCCAATCTCCGAAGGAATGATGCCGGCCGAGCCAAGCGTTGCGAGACTTTTAGCAACGCAATGTGGGTATCAAGTTGACGATTATGTCGCGCTTCATTAGACGCATACCGCTGCTATACCTCGGAATAAAAAATTGGCGGTTATAATGCCAGAGCCCTGGTTCATTTCGTTCCCTCCTAGCAGAACGGTTATCCTTTACCATTTCACCAATTCTCTCTCAACCAAAAATGGCCCAACCTGTACCCTTAGACTCGACAGCCACAATGGGAGCTGATTCCCAGCTTGCCGAGTATACATTGGCCGATGTTGCCAAGCATAACCGCAAGGATGACATCTGGATTGCCATCCACGGGCAAGGTAAGGGCTTTCGAGGAGTTCACATAATGGGTTACTGAAACTGTTACATAGTATTTGACATCACCGAGTACCTGCAGGATCATCCAGGAGGCGTGGACATTCTCCTTGAGACCGCAGGCACTGACGCCACCGCAGATTTCGAGGATGTCGGCCATTCGGAAGACTCCAGGGAGATCTTGCAGGAGTACTTGATCGGTACCCTGAAGGACGCTAAAAAGTTTGTTCCTCCAAAGGCAGTCCGTGTAATTGCCCAGAAGCCAGAGAAGACCGAAGTCCCAGCAACCAATCGTTCGTCGCTCCTAGCAGTCACTGGGGCCTTAGGAGCGGTAACGACCCTGCTCTACGTTCTGAATCGGAAGAGTCCTGGAGTTTTCGATATGAGAAGAGTTCTTGGTAGTGCGATGCCACAAGAGTTCAGTGGAATCAGACTACCAGGCGGTGGATTCGCCAATGGATTCCTCGCAGCCACGCTTTTCTCCTGCGCAATTGGTAGCGTAGTGGCGCGCCAAGCTGCCAAAATGATGAAGATCGAACACGGGTTCATGCGCTATCCTCCGCATATCAAAGCCCGGAAAGTGGCCCGGGCAGACCCTCACATGGCGAAGGGCTTTCTCGACTCCAAAGAATACCAGCGTCTACCCCTGGTCCAGAAAGAACTGTTGTCACCCAATGTGTACCGATTTGTATTCGCTTTGCCTGATACGAAAGGGGTGATTGGCCTTCCCATTGGACAGCATGTTGCCATCCGCGCCATTATTGATGGTAACACAGTGAGCCGATCCTATACCCCTGTCTCCAACAATTTGGACTTGGGCCGACTCGAACTGGTCGTCAAGTGTTACCCTGACGGTCTACTGAGCGGGAAATACCTTGCCAACCTGAATGTTGGGGACGAGGTGGAGTTCAGGGGACCCAAAGGAGCCATGCGCTACAGCCGAGGGCTATGTGCCAAGATTGGTATGGTAGCTGGCGGAACAGGCATCACCCCCATGTTTCAACTGATTCGGGCTATTTGCGAGGACGAGCGTGACACGACCGAGATCAGTCTGATCTATGCTAACCGGAGCGAGGGGGACATCCTGCTGCGCGAGGAGCTGGAGGAATTTGCTCGCAAGTATCCCAAGAACTTCAAACTCTGGTACATGCTGGACGCGGCCCCCGAGGGGTGGATGTATGGGTCGGGCTACGTGAATGAGACTGTCCTCCGTGAAAGGTTGCCTGTCCCGTCAGCAGAGACTAAGGTTATGCTCTGTGGGCCCCCGGGCATGGTAAACGCGTGCAAAAAGACCTTGGGCGCCATTGGATTCCAGACGTCAGGAACGATCTCGAAGATGAGTGACCAAATCTTTTGTTTCTAGATAGAATATATAATATTAGACCCAATTAATGCTCCAGACCTCTTTTTTCTACACTTTTTCTCGATGAAATTGTCCGCAATGCTGGGGGATGACGCCCGAGAAATCTGTACCGCACGGGTGTGTGTCGCTCAACACGGGCAAGGCCCGACTGGCTGGCAAATCAGAGGGGCTAATACGTACGGTTTAGTGGATGAGGTTATGACAAGGGTCAAGAGGGTCTGCCATCTCGATTCTTGAGATAACGGACCAAGCCCGAGTACACAGTAAGTGTGGTGTTACTTTGTGAGCCGTTATGTGTCAATTGTGCGTGGTTGGGAGAAAATGGAGCATCGTATGGACTAGTCTTGCCAGAAAAGGCAGGCCGCAGTGGAGGCAACTAGGCCATACTTGCCTAACCGAGACTGGTGGCTCCATCCTGACAATTAGGCGCTCCACCTTCCAACTTGGCTTCGACTTTCTAGAATTGCTTCTCTCGCGTTGTACCTCGGCTCACCTTTGCTCTTTCCTATTGTGTGGCTTAGTTTGTTCAGTGATCCTGGTCTTTGCTTCATAAATTTTCACCCCCAATCACCGCTGTTTCAATTGTTGTTGCATAATTGTCTTCTTGTTCATAACGGCCTCTGCTCCCGACCAATGTACAGACGCGCTCCCTACAGTAGATTGCGTCCTCGTCATTAAACGAGTGCCAAACAACCGAGGTTCAAAGACTTTATCTATATGCCTCACCCCATTGAGAGGGTCCCGTTTTCCAGGCTGACGACTCCCTGCCGTGTTTTCGTTGAATCGCATCCACTCTACATTATCTGGTCTTCCCTGGAATAGAAATCCTTTCCGGCCTTAGGAAGAGTGGTAGGTATCTGTTTCAGTGTCTGCTTGGAATTGTGGCCTCCATTCTGGCCTTTCCTGCTTGCCTCATTCAGCTTGCTGCTGACGATGCGTATGCTGATAAATGATTGGGTTCGCTTAATATAGAACCCAAGCGTCAAATGACACAACAACAATACATGTTCTGCTCTGATTGTGCTAAAGCCAGCTAAGGATAAGGCAAAAAGCAACCGGAAGACCATGTAGAGCATGTAGGTGGAGTAGGGGACGCCCAATCGGGCAGGTGGCACGGCGAACGACCTCGACACCAATCATATCATCTTGGTAGAGGTCCATTGTCATCGCTGATGTCTCATGAACATTCCTCATCATTCTACTTACTCCGTATGCCTGGCCACATTCCCCGCGAGATCATTATATTCCCTAGCTGCCCCGTGAACTCGCACAGCAATATCTAATACTTACCTTTGCAGTCAAGTTACACGCTCGATGGTCGTCACAATTGGCTGGGCCCAGGTGGGAACGTTCGCTTGACCGGTATTCATGTGGCAAGAGTCCCCGTAACAAGAGCTGCTTGTTTTGGGTTTGTTTGAGCCGCGTTTGCCAGACCCTGATCCTTGATCAGAATACGCATCGTCAGCAGCCAGCTGAACGAGGCAATGCTGGGCATATTCAACCATTTGGAATACCCCTGTCCTACTTAAGATACTTGTCTGCCGTCCAATGTCTCGGAAGAGGGTGAATAGCAGCCTCTACTGATCGGATCCACCCACCATGAGATGTCTGGCCAATGAAGTGGAAGATATACATGTATCTGCCTTTGAGAAGCACGCCAAATCCTAACCTGTTATAGATGACTGCCCACCTAAAGAGCTACATCCTAATAGCCCGTTTGTGCTATTATGAGTGTCATTGGCCACAGCTTTTGTGTGCGGAATATCAATCACCAGACAAAAGCAAAGGTAGTTGTATGAAGAAGCAATCTTTGGTCCGAATTTATGGACAAGTGATGTATGTCAGCATCGACCGGCTGGTCGGGGTCGCATAAGCTTATGCGGCTTGGCGGCGCCACGTGCAGTAAGTAGTACTTCACTTCAGTCGGAACATTGAACTGCAGTCCATCAATTCATATTTTTCCTTGTCATTATAATTAAGAAGTGCAAATAGAATTCGGTTAAGTTGGATCCCGGAGTATAGTTGCGTCCTTTCTTCTGCACGACATTTCGAGCGCAGAGCCCAGAAAGTCTAACCACGATGAGCGCCATATCCCCAATGCCACAAAGTCCGACTGGTGCTTCCTCTCCACTTCAGACTTACGCCCGCACTTGCTCTTCCTGTCGACAGCGAAAAGTTAAATGTGACCGACAACGGCCTTGTATCAACTGCAGTCGCTCGGGCGTAGAATGCACCTACCCCCCTGGACGCGGCAGAGCTCCTAAGCGGCCCCGCAATGCTGTGAACGCGCAGTTGTCACACCGATTAACCAGACTCGAGTCTATTATAAGGAGTTTTGAGTACCATCAGAATCAGGAAAGCTCAACTCCTGATTCTGCAGCTCCAGTCACGATATCGTCCCAAGCAGACAGCAGAGTGTCAGAAACTTCCCGTATCCCATTTGTCCCCCGCACGAGCAATTCAGACTCAGGGAGTTCAATCGAGCAGCATCTAGGCCGCCTATTGATAGATGAAACACGGAGCTATTATGTCAGTAATGTGCTCTGGGCGAATCTGGGTGATGAGGTATGCCCCGGTCCCGACCAAGACCCTCACTACATCCGTTCGCTTTCGAGCTGACGAGTAATGGTACAGATTGCAGAACTGCGAGATCTACTACATGAGCCCTTCGAAGAAGAGGATACTGCATTTTCGGAGGAGTCCGTTCCAGACCGACCCTTGCCCACGGGATCCAATGCTGCAATATTGGGGTTTCGGGCTCTGGCTCATTCGCTTCATCCCTATCATCCACCCTTGACTGAGTCGGTAACCCTTTTCGGGGTGTTTCAGGAGAACGTTTCTCCGATGGTGCGTGTTTTCCACATGCCCACGTTAGTTCGCAACTATTGGGATGCGGTTGCGTCTCTTGAATCGCTCGATAAGGATACCGAAGCACTTTTATTCGCCATATATTACTCTGCAGTAATAAGCATGGAGCCCGAGCAGTGCCTAAGAACTATTGGCGTCCCCAAGGCACATGCTTCAGAAACCTATCTGTTCGCCATAGAACAGGCCTTGGCCCGTGCTGACCTGCTAAATACGCAAAGCGTCACGCTATTGCAAGCCGCTGTGCTGTTCCTTTTCGCGCTACGCAACGAAGATGATTCCCGGACCGTCTGGTCACTCACAGCACTCATCTTTCACATCGCACAAGCTATGGGTCTCCACCGCGATGGCATCGTGTTTGGGCTCAAGCCTATGGAGACAGAGCTACGCCGGCGACTGTGGTGGCACATTTGTCTTCTAGATGCTCGCTCATCAGAGTACCATGGCTGCGAGCCAATTGTGCGGGACTCGGCCTTTGACACGAAGCTACCGCTTAATGTTGAAGATGCTGACCTGACTGCCGACATGAGCGAGCTACCCATTGAGAGGGCCGGTGTAACCGGCATGTATTTCTGTCTTATCAGGTGTGAGGTTATGCAGACAATGTGGAAGCTTAGCTGTGTGGTTCCAGCTTTGGGAGGCCCGAGAAATGGGACCGGCAGACCGTCTTTGAAAGAACGTGAAGCATTAGTGCAGAACCTACACGATCGCCTTGAAGAGCGATATTTACAGCATTGTGATATCTCACAGCCTTTTGGCTTGGCTTCAACATTCGTAGCCCGTCTAATGGTTGCACGTGCGTGGCTAGTTGCACGATACCCTTTAAATGAGAAGGAACATGGTGACAACCTATCGGACCCTGTGCGCGATCAACTCTTCTTGTCATCTATTGAGGTATTGAAGCTATCCAGCTTGGTTCTCACAAACAAAAAAATTGCCCACTGGAGTTGGCACTCAAAGACGCACATTCAGTGGCATGCCGTTGCTTTGGTGCTCTCTGAGATCTGCACTCGGCCCCCTTCGGCAGACTGTGACCGCGCATGGGAGTACGTCAACACCGTTTATAACAATTGGAAGATGAAGGAAAGCGGGAGAAAGGGTACCTTATGGCGGCCTATCAGACGACTGATGGCCAAGGCACAGTACATACGAGAGATGCAGGAGCTTGACCCTGCTGGCAGAGGGAGACAGCGAGCACCGACCAATCGAGATGATATGCAAGGGGTCCTAGGCTCCGAGTTGTGCTGGGATACGAACACGACATATGTGTCTACACTTGTCGACCCAACCTGCAATGTAGTAGGGAACCTTCCTAGTGATTTCTTGACGGGGAATTTAGATCCCTTTGAAGAGCTGTCCCCGGGCGTTCCGCACGTCGAAGGCTCCGCTCATGAACCGTGCGACAATTTCGGACCAATGCTTCCTCTTCTTGATGACTCCCATATTCCTGAGTGGCTGGTTCCGGAGTGGGCGAGAAAATCACCAGGCAATCAGACATAAGGTGAAGCAGGGGACACAATTTCCCTTTCTTCGGCATACTGCAGGTCTCACATCATAAGACCATCACGTACACGATCCCTAGAGGCTATCCCAGCGACAATTGTACGACGATTTTAGCCTTGTTAATCCCTTACCATTTTCGTAGGTACGAGCGTGCAAAAGGTTTGGCAGGAAGAAGTAAGGATAAAAGCAATTCGATATTAGTTTGGAGGAGGGTGCACAGAGCGGGCTTTCAACATCTTCATTCTGGCCGTCATGAGTGCGACCGAGTGGAGGAGATCAATTAGCCATGGCATCTAAGCCCGATGTCATTGGGATCATACGGACGATGACTGAGGCAGACGGTGTTCGGATAAGCCTATGCGACCCCGGACCAAACTGCATGAGCCTTCCGTTCCGGCCATCGGTTGCGCATAAGACCAGTCTGTCCGGGGACCCCCTCTGCATGGACGCTTGTTAAATGGAGGGATTCCCCCAGCTGAGGCGTGGTAGCGCTATTTGCTTGCTATCGTTTCATCTCAAACTGGGGGCTAACATCAACCATGGCTCTCGACCACCAAGAGCGTACCAAAAGCGAAGCGGTTTTGGCTCATCCTCTACTCTACGAGGCAACAACCCCCGATGTTCTGGTCGACTTCAATGGCCAAGATGATCCCTACCGTTCCATCAATTGGCCTTTTCGGAAGAAGGCCATCACGACGATCCTATATGGAATGACTACATGCTGGATCACCTTTGCGTCGGCGATCTATTCGGCGGGGATGCTGCCGATCGCGCACGAGTTTGGCGTTTCGAAAGAAGTATCCACATTAGGAATCAGCTTGCTGGTCTTTGGCCTCGGGCTAGGACCGTTACTGTGGGCACCTCTGAGCGAGGTTTATGGTCGTAAAATGGTCACAATCTTGGTACGTGCCCTGTTATGCGACCGTCAGTTTAGACGTCAAGTCACCAAGTTCAGTCATTCGAGCTGACTTGTGATACAGCCTTATTTCATAGCAGGGATTTTCTCTTTCGGAACGGCAACGGCAAAGGATATCCAGACATTAATGATCACCCGATTTTTCTCTGGATTCTTCGGCAGCTCTAGCGTGGCGATAACTGGCGGTGCAATGGCGGATATCTGGAGGCCAGAACATCGCGGTGTAGCCATCGTCGTTTACTCGGTCACTCTCGTTGGCGGACCTTGCCTTGGCCCCATCATTGGCGGGGCCTTCGTGTCTAATAGTAGCCTAGGTTGGCGCTGGACGGAATACCTGACGGGGATATTGATGGTAGTGCAATCTGTGCTGGACTTCTTGATTCTTGATGAGAGCTATGCACCCGCATTGTTGGTCCGAAAAGCACGCCGGCTGCGGCTGGAAGGCAAGAACTGGGCTCTGCACGCGAAGGTGAGCAAGCGCAGATGCTGAGAGAGTTGTTGCTTCTTCAAATTGGTTCCATTCTAACTAAACAATAGCACGAAGAATGGGACGTATCTATTTCCGAAATGTCGCAGAAATATTTGATCCGTCCTTTCCAGATACTGAACACCCCAATTGGGCTGTTCATGTCGATCTATGGGTCTTTCGTTTACGGTTGGTAGTAATTTTTGGCAAGGTTTTGGATGCGGTGACTTACGATCTCAACAGCAATTTTATATGTAAACCTCGAAAGCTTTCCCATTGAATTCCAGGAGAAGCGCGGCTGGAACCATGTTACCGGAGGCCTTCCCTTTGTCGCCCTCCTCGTGGGAATCTTCGCCGCGGCTCTAGCCAACGTCTATAACAACCGATACTACTTTAGGAAGCTTCGCGAGAATAATGGCAAACCCGTGCCCGAAGCACGATTGCCTCCGATGATGGTTGGAGGAGTTGCCTTCACGGGGGGCTTATTTCTTTTCGCCTGTCAGTCCCTAACTCCCCGATATGATTTGTTGTGCCACACTGATTAGATGTAGGGACCTCATCGCCTCACAACAACTATTGGCCATCACTCATTGGCATCGCATTAACGGGCTTCGGGTTTACCACCATCTTTCAAAGTTCAATCAATTATTTGGTTGACACATTCTTGCGCGTCAGCGCGAGCGCAGTTGCGGCCACCACTCTTCTTCGATCCATCCTAGCTGGTGTATTCCCTCTATTTGTGCAGCCGATGTTCCAGGGCATCGGAGTGAGTTGGGGCATCACGGTATTTGGGTGCGTTGCGGCGGTTTTGATCCCCGTTCCATTTCTCTTCTTTGCATTTGGCAAGAGAATTCGTGCAAAGAGTCGATGGAGCAATCATGGTGTATGATCCTAGGTTCGCACTCATCGACCCATGTTTTTTCTGGGGTCTCGGGTGGCTTTTTAAGACCTTCCGTTTAACTAGGTTTGCTTCTTTCCGGTACCTGCTAGACTCTACCTATCGAGATGCTGTTGATAGTCATTTGGATACATAGATTGCGATGATGGCCGTCTCATATCCTAAGAGGGGGACTTGACCAACCTATAATGTATGCATGCAAATATGATGAGATAGTCAAGCTACAGATACCATAATGATACCTTTCTGGATTTTATTGTAAGGATCGTGGAGAGTCCTATGTAGGCACTGATGATATCTAGGAATGGCACGGCCTCTGGTTGGGCGTAAAGTTGACCTGGTGGAGAAGGAATGTTGTCATAACCCAGCGCTAGCCGAGCGGCTTCATCCGGATTTGCGGAACCACTCCTCGGCAAGATAGTTGTGGCGGGTGGCTCTTCGGAACCGAGCATGCCATGTGTACACATGAGTATCTTGAAGAAAATTGAGTGCAGGCTTGATGCGAAGACCTTAATAGTTAAAGCGGTTTATAAAGTATTCAATATTCAACCAGTCCAGTATGTGTGGCTGGTGGATATGGGAGCAAGTTGGCCCGCGATACCTTCCGTAACCGGATGAAAGGGTAGTAGATCAAATCAATTGGTTATGTCACCAAAGAGGCGATGACGTTTATGGAAGAATCAGAGCAAAACCCCAAAGCCAATCTAATCCTGAACTTTACTTACTTTGTTTAGTGTACCCTCGGCTTGCCGATCGGATCCAATATTAGCCACAGTTCCTCTTCATACTGCACCATTATTCGGTCCCCTGTTGGTCCCACCAGATGGAACAACAACAACTTACCCCCCGGGGAATTCTGGATCCACTGGGGCTAGACTACCGTTAGTCAGTCAATTCGGTCGGCAGTGGTCGCATCATTGCCGGTTTCTTCACAGCCCAGGTACGTCATTGGAAAGGTCCGGTTTCTCGTCGCCACAAGTTCTCCTCTTTTCTTTTTTCTTTTTTATCCTCCCCGAAGCTATTTCACCAGGGGCATATCCTCATATTCTTAGTCTGGGCTGTCGCCATCTATACATCATCGTTATCAGCATTATTATTACTTCTGTTTCACCGGTTTCTCAACCCGTCCAGTAAAGAAATACCTGTCTTAGATATGTCGTCCAACGGTACCACAACGAGGAAGATTGTCTGCTTCTCAGGTATGTAAAAGAACAGTAACCCCTGTACCTTTGCTTGTAATGCTTGCTTTCTTGTGCCGTGGATCAGTATATCTCCACTTAGACCGTGCCGCCGCTAATCCGCGACCTATCGGACAGACTTCGATGGGACGATATTCATGCAAGACACAGGCCATGTCCTCTTCGATAACCTAGGATGTGGCGCCAAGCGCCGCCAAATGCTCGACGAGCAAATCAAATCCGGCGAGCGCTCATTCCGCGAAGTCTCCGAGGAAATGTGGGGTTCGCTACGGATCCCCTTCGAGGACGGCTTCGATGTGATGCAGGAGGAGTTGGATATTGATCCTGGGTTCCAGGAATTTCACAAGTTCTGTATCGAAAAGGGGATTGATTTCAATGTTATCAGTGCTGGTTTGAAGCCTGTTTTGCAGAAAGTGCTGGACACTTTCCTGGGAGAGCAAGAGGTATGGTGATTTGATTTGGGAGTGAGAGTTAGGGTCTGGTTGGGTAGTTGCTGACTGTTTGTCTCAGGCTTCGCGCATTCAGATTGTCGCCAATGATGCAGAAATCAAGTCCGACGGGTCGGAGTGGAAGCCGATCTGGAGGCATGAAACAGAGCTTGGCCACGACAAGGCGCTGTCTATCAAAGAGGGTCGTGCGCAAGCAGCAGAAGATGCTTTGGAAGGAGAGATCCCTCTTATCATCTTCATTGGTGACGGCGTGTCCGACCTCCCGGCTGCTCGCGAAGCAGACGTTCTCTTTGCGCGCAAGGGCCTGCGGTTGGAGGAATACTGCATTGAGAACAAGATCCCCTACATTGGTTTCGACTCATTTTCCGACGTCAAGCGGGAAGTAGAAGCGATCATGAAGGAGGATCAGGAGAAGACCAAGGGTGTGGGCAAGCCTGCCCGATTCAACCCCCGGGCTAATATGTGGCGGCGGATTTCTAGCAGGCAGGCTGTGAGTTCATGTTGGAGTGTTGCAGATGCATAATTCATCGAAGCTGACAATATCACAACAGGTCCCGAAGTTCGTCGCTGCGACGCCATCCAACGAAGAGAAGATGTTCCTCTGGCCAGAGAGCTTCTCCGAATACCGACCCAAGAATGCGGATGATATCCGAGTGTGAGAGCCGATCTCAGTTAATGTGTGGATGATTCATTTTCAGGCGTTTGGTGGAGTGAACTGGGTACATAGATCCTATATGTGTCCAAATGAATGTTACTTATAATCTTTTCTACTGTGTTCGTGTTATATTGGATATGGTTGAGAACTGGGACGGCGTTAGGTTGGATAACACACTATGTGAGCTTGCATTTGAGTGCTTGGTGTTACTAAGTGGAATGGGATAGTGACCATTACATGTCAAACAAAGGAATGGATATTGAGATCCCGAAAAGGAAACTGATGCGAAACTCTCATCGACAAGCCATGTGGCATCCAGGGCTAAGCTATTGCCAAGAGCCGACAAGCTCTGGAGTATATACTCTGAGAGAAAATTTTACTGGCTTCCAACCTTGGCACTTATATTGCTGCCTTATTGACAGAGTCGAAATGGAGCTGCTTGCCGATACAAATCATCCTTGTGCACAGCCCTCACGTGGATGCCATTTTTGCGCCAATTATCAGGTTTATATTCTCCTAGCACAGTCGCACACCCCGATTGATACATTTTACCCAATAGACATGATCCCTTCAGCATAGAGCCCTCACCTTGCAACAAATGTAATGGCTGATGCCTAGTGTGGCTGCAGCACAGCCTCGTAATCTGGCCCTCCCGTCGCGCTGACTGCCTAATCGGGACAAGTGTTGTCGGGCCTGGCCGAAACATCCAGCTTAGGTGTATAGTAAGAGAGGGAGAATACTATAAGAGTTCCTTTGTCCTGATGGGCGCTTTCTCACCCCATATTTCACTTATTTTCCACGTCTCACGCCCTACAACCTCGTGGCATTGTTCCTAGACACCGTCAGCGATAACGCTGCTCCAAAAGCTATGGATCTCAGAGCCAACCTCGTCAAGGGTATCGCATCCGGCATCGGTCTAGCCTCAGAGAGCATATCAGCCTATAAGGCAAGTAGAGAAGAGAAAAAGGCGAATGCATCAGACACAGATAATACTGTCAGAGAAGCGATTACGGAGGATGCCGACGAAGTCGAGCAACTCATCAACGAACAACATGAAGAGGACTGGGTTCTTGACGAGGCGCAAGATGAATTAGCTGGGAATGAGCATCGTGCCGACTCAGAACCTGCCGGTGGTGATATCGAGGGGTTAGCAGTCTCGTTTCTTCAAAATTATCCCGCTCCACCTCCGTACGCTCCCATGTCGGAATTGCCCAGACTGTCTTGTCCTGTGGTGCTGCCTCAGCGACGACCAAAATCTCGCAAGCGAGGCTTCATTCGAGCCTATGCTCCTATTCTGGAGGACTTTGGTATCGACAAGACTATGTTTCTTGACTTTTTGGAGACGTCGAACCGAGCGTGTCAGGCGACTCCGTGGTTGCAAGCTATCAATTTGGCTTCTATTGGGACTATGTTCATTCCTGAGCCTATTTCGATAGCTGTTTCGATTTTGATACAGTTGGCGACTGATGTGGCTATGGCTGTTGATGGTAGGAGAAGGTACGACTCGCGTGGTAGGGTGTGGTGTTGTTTTGTGTGATGCTGATGCATAGTATATAGGACGAACAAATTCTTTGACAAGATCAATGATGAGTTCTTCCGCCCTCGTGGTCTATTCTGTTTGGTTATGACATGGAAGCCTGGGTCTGACTCACCCTACGCTACCTTCGACATGAACTCCACGATCTCCGCGGCCATTGAGCATGGTGGAGCAGGATTGATGAACAGGGTTCGGCATAAACTCAAGTCATCGGACGCTAAGACGCACGGCACTTTGCCCTTCTCGGAGTGTGCCCCTCTTATCTTTCCCGACCTGGATGAGTTAGCAGAACATCGAGGAGACAATCAGTCTAAACTGAAGGGTACGAAGCGAAGAAAGGAGTTCGTCTCGGATTACTGGGACCGGAGGTCACAGGCCAAATTTGTATGTTATTGGGTCCATATTGATCGTATGTACTGGAACTGACCTGGGGATTTTAGATGATGAAGAATCCCGATAGTGCTTTGAGCCAGGGTCATAAGCCAACGTTCAAATCCCGTTATGCCGACCCTAGCCACCCTGCCAGCAGCGGCTCCTTGGTCGGTCTACTTACGGGTGGACATATGACTGGTGAGAGATTAGTGCAACTTCGAAGTGGCGGAAATGGAACCGATAGAAGAAGAGGTCTCGGCAGGCAGTCAATTGAATCGCCACCTTTGTCCCTTGGCGGGCTGGCGGCTGGTATTCGTGCAGCTAGGCTTGGACGATTACCGATGGAAGATCCGCAAGGGCAGGATGAGATGCACCGCGAAGAGAGTTATCAGCATTCACCTGCTCATACTTCGTATGGTGGCCAAAGCGTTCCTGGTCGTGGATGGGGAGTCAGAGACATTCGCCAGGCAGGACCTCTAGGAAGTCCCATTGGAGGAATCAAGAAGCTGCTGAAAGAGGTACTTATGATACCTTTTCCGATGGCTTACAGATGCTAACATGATGGCAGAACATTATCTACCTCATGATTGTCAACATGCCTTCGGAGGAAGATATGGAGGCAGCGAGGCGGATTCTCCAGTCGTGATCACTGTTTTGATCCTGCGTCGGTCAGTCGCCTTATCTTTAGCAGGCCTTAGTAATTTGGTCGCATTATTGATCATTTTTGTAGATTTAGCGATGCCAATATAATAGCAAAGACGTTCAGAGTAGTGATTCAGACTGTTTGGTGACGAGTACCTGCATCGTTTCTGTTGTTATTAGGTGTTATGGGATGCGATTTAAATAGCTCCTGAAATACTCAGCTTTTAGTCGACACACATAATGGCTGAGTATTAGCAGCAATTGATGAGCAGAGTATGGCAGGTGAGTTGTGCGCTTGTGATCAGTGAAGCATTGCGTCTCACACTTCGTCACTCACACCTTCAGAATAGCTCATCCAGTGGCACATTTGATCTTGCTATTGCGTCAGAGAGTAATTACCAAAATGCAGGTCTATGTCAGTCATTTAATAAAAAGCCGTCTGCGTAAGTAGAATGCATGGGACGCGGCCCATGATAAAAGAACACAAATTGAGCTGGCCGAGACTTTTTTATAGTATTGATACTGGATGAGCTAGAGGAAGTGCACCGTGTATTTTCGTTCACAATGGAACGGAAAAACTGAATTGACAAATGAATTGCCTGTGTTGCGTTCATATCACGCCAACAAAAAGTGTAGTGTATGTAATGTAGTAAGTAGTGAGTAGGTATGGAAAAATGCAAAAAGAAATCTCCCCGACTGGGAGTCGAACCCAGGTCTCCCGCGCTTGTTCCCGAAAGGGATTGACAAGCGGAAATCATGACCGTTAGACCATCGAGGACTTCTTATTTGCTCGAGCTTTATTCTGCTTTATGTTCTTGCCAAAGATCTAAATGACTCGGACTACCACGCTCAACGAGGCAGCATACCACCACCCATCTGACTATATTCTACAGTGTATCTATATCCTGTATTTATCATCTAGTTGTCCTTTAAGTCACCTGGGTATTTCGTGCGTGGATAGTATCAGAACCCGGTAGTAGTATGGTTGCCGGAGATATATATATTGTCGCAACCCCAGCTGCGCATCCATTGTCAATATGTAAGGAGTTCGAGGTAATATTATCATTATCATACTGGAAAGACACCAATCCACAGCATGAGCTATTTGTTAAGCTTGAAAATGTTGGTACAGAGAACTTGCATCGACATGCGAAGCCAGTCTTTGATAAATCGGTGTACCTAAATTCTTGGTTCAGTCACCCGCCGTGCGTTGACATGTTGTCATTGAATCAAGTAATCCCCGAGGGCCATGTCTCAGAGCTTATGAGACGTCAATCATCTTGAATGAACCGTCCTCACGCAATCAAGTCAAGCTCTCAAAGAAAAAGAAACGAGGGCCCATTGTAGTGACACCAAGGTGAGTGTCTTCAAAGATAATGATACCTTGACAGGCTGCCTTAATGACATCCGTTGCTGTCACATACCCCGCCCCTCCCTTGACTATCCTCATTAAGAGCCCTTGACACAGCATAAGCTCTAGGTCAGTACGGCATCACTGCGCTTCATTCATCGATCCGGAAAGAGCCGTATGCCCATAGCAGTCAATATTTAAGTTTAGGAGAGTTTGTTGGCCGCCACGTGCATGGGTTGGGTTGTCGAATAGAAAGATTTGAAAAGTCGATATAGAATCATTATTCACTCAAGTTGAGGTCAGAATTAGTGAGATTTGTCAGTGAATACCCTGTCACATGATTGTGGCCTTGCTTCTGTTCCTTTTTCTCAAACCGCTGCCCTCCCCCCACCCTCCTCCCAAACACTCTACTATCATCCGCGGGCATCAGGGTCAACTAATCACCTACCTACTTTCCTTAATCTGGATCAGACCTCTTTTCCTGACTATCATCTACGATGAAGGAGAGTAAAGCTCGGAAGATATTGAGGTCGCTGTACCTTGAAGTGGTCAGAGGAGAGCATAGCACACCCTTCGTCTCTAATTCGCCTGGCTCACAAGGGGACGTCATGCCGCTGTTTCTGCAAGAACATAACATAACTCTATCTTCTTGGGATCTTGAGTCAAGCTCTGAATACCCGTCATCTGTACCGTTCGTTCGGCGTTCTCGGTCGTTTCTACAAGCCCACCCCACTACCTCTGATCTTCCCTTCCCCAAGTACATCCCACTGGCCGACAGAGACGAGGCTCGGGAAAAAGGGTGGTTGGTGACCGACGAAGAGAACTGTTCCTATGAGGCTGCTCTTTTTTTTACCCAATATGCCACTGCCAATCGAGTCTTCCACCGTCCGTACTCATCACTGATGGATTTCTGCGAAGTACGCAAAATGACGTGAGTACCGTATATTCTAGCTGGATTACTGGTTCAGTCATTAAAGCTTGCTAATCTTTAGGCCACCGAATCCTTTCATGAGTTACGCTACACAAATTGGACAGTGTCCATCTACAGGACGCTGCTGGGGCATCCGTCTTTTCCTTGAGCCTCAGATTCGCGATACTCCACCACTTCCCCATATTGCCGCAGTGGCTTACCAGCCAATGAATGCCAGAGATGGTTCGATTTTGGGTGGTGAGCTCGCTACCATCCTCAATATCATGCGTAGTCGCGTCAAGGAGTTTAAAGTGGAAAGTGAAGAGATGATAGAAGGTCTTTCTGATATGAATGAGCAAGAGCTTGAAGATCTTTCCCAGAAGAGTCCAGCCTTCCCAGATGAACAGAAGTTTCCAGTTCTACTTGTTTCATTTGTGGGGCCACAGCATGCACGACTGCTTTGTGCCTCCATGTATACACATGCTCTGATCATTCACGTGTCGAAGCTTTATAGCTTCGAGAGAGAGCAGGATGCTCCGCTCGATCTATTTATGTCTTGGCTGTTTGCGCGTCCTGTGGCGGGAGCCTAACGGAAACCCTTCTCAGGGCATTACGAATCTCTATCTACTAATTACCGACTAATTTAATGCCTTGTGCTACGTTGCTCTGATCATTGCGTAGTAGTAGCTGGTCATGTATAATCGAAAGATTGGGGCGGGGTCGTCCGGCTGATTTTAGGTCAGTACTCATCCAGGAGCACTTGTGCGGATTGGCGAGCATACTATATGCGGTGGCAGTATTGAACCTTCTATCGGAATCTTCTTCGACTTTGAAACAAATCCACACCGTACAACATAAGCTCGTAGGGGGGGATCACGAACAGACAACAGCGTAGACTTGAAAAAAGGATAATTCGATACCCTATCACATCGAGAAGACCCAACCTACCTATGGTGTACCGAATGAAATGTTTTTAGGTCTTTTGCTCTTCGATGGTCCCATACTATCTTCACTAGAGGTTGGGTTGAAAGGCACTGAGTAGGATACAGCGAAAGAGGAATGATACTTTTACATTCCATCTACAATTACGCTGTCTTCCTCCCTTTATTTAGAATGGCTGGTTATTTATGGGACAGAAGAAAAAAAATAAAGTAATAAAGAAGTGAGATCTTATCTGCAGTAACTTTCCCTTTGTTGCATTGGAAGGTCTCTGAAAAATTACTATGTTGGATTAATAAAAGTGCAATAATGATCAGGGCATAGTTCCTCATGTCGTTTGGCCGGCATATGTCCCAGGGGCCAAAAGGGCGCATGTTCGCGAACCCAGCTCTGAGAGATAGCCCGGCCCCCCTCCCCCCCTGCATGTACCTCAATCACCCATCGTCGTAATTAGAGACACTTATATAGAGCTCGGTACCATCCTTGGACAAGAATACTCGTGAATCAGCAGCCCCCTCTGCCGCGGGAAAGCTCTTTATCCAGGCAATCACTTCCGCGACTTTTTGCATATCCATTTTCGGCGAATGATTGTCCCTCCAAGATCTTTACATTCGACGAGTGCCAGAATGCGACAGGTGACGACATCTTTCAGCTGTCCATCTATGTAGGCCACAAGTCCTCTTTCGCGCTGCGGTGTGCTGAAGTCCGCTACAAGCTTCTTGGGTGCGAGGGTCCATAGGCGTTGAGCAGGCTGCGGGCCCAAGTCTGAGATGGCATTCAAGAAAGATAAAAAGGCAGTATTGACTGTCGACTCAGTTGTACCGCGATTGATACCGTTAATAGTGAGGTTACGATTCACTTCTTGCTGTTGCATGGCCGTAACCCTAAACAGGCGGTCTGTGCCACCCCAGACCCACCCAGTCGTCTGCGTCTGCCTGCTGGAGAAACCTGCGATGTATTGATTGAAAGAAAGGGAATGTAGCCACTGGTTGGCCTGCGTAATATGATGCGAAACCCCAAGGTTCTGGATATTCAGCTGGTTTGGCGGTACAATGGGAGGAAGGAGGGTCCGGAGCAGGAAATATTGCCGGTAGCTAACTTGCGATGCCGAATATAACTTCACGTTCATTCGAAGTTGTCTGCTTTGCGACTTTTTCTCTTCTAGATCGGCGTTCCCAGTCAATTTGCTGTTCAGGAAGGACGAGGGCCGTCATTATGACAATATGAGAGGGTATACCCAAGAATGAGTCTCATGATCATGATGACGAGACGTGGGATGTAGATGACTGGGGATGCGAGGCTCAGTGAATACTCGCAGTGGTACAGCCCTTCTTGTGTTGTGGGAAAAATTCAATTCTGTTTGTTTGATTCACTTGCAAGCTCTTCGCTTCTCGTGTTTCTTTTACTTTTCTGCCTCTTCTTTCGCCTTTCCTCCTCTTCTTCTTCTCACCACAACCTGCTTCCATCTCAAACGGCTCTGCCAACAGGATTAGTTCAGGTTTTATCTTTTCACACGTCGACAATCTCGTTTTAACATCCTCTCCTCCTGTTTCCTCTCCCTCTCTCCACCCCCCCCATCTGTCAACCTCCCCAGCACTTCGGTTCCTTCGCTTCGTCGGAACCGTCGTGATGGTGGTGCCCGAGTCTGGCGACGTCTGGGGTCCGCCGGCCCTCTGACCGTGGCAGCCGAGACGAACAATATTCCTTGGCTAGCAACCGGAACGGAGAGGCCGAAAAGCTGACCACCATAAAGACGTTCTCGCCCTCGCCGGCACAGGCCTGGCGAGCCCGCCAGGAGGAGGAACGACGGCAGCAAGCGAGAAGTCGAAAGGCTCCTCGAGGATGTTGAAAGTTGCCCGTGGAAACTCGGCCCTTGTCGAATCGACAAGGGCTTAGTGGATGCGATGCCTGGTCGACTCGATCAGGCTCCGGCGATGGATGTCACCTTGCTGAAACATTGATTTTGCCCTTGGCCTGTGTCGAACCCGATCAGGCCGAGAAGTGGTGCCTGGTCGATCTCGATCAGGTTACCAATGGGTGCTGGTGCCTAGGTCGACCTCGATCAGGCTCAGCTTTCGGATATACTGCTAAAAAGTCCCTAGCAGCAAATGAGACCTGTGTCGAATTCGATTCGGTCTGAAGTGAGCGGGTTTCTGGATCGATTCCGATCAGATATCCTGCTGAGATATTTCCCTATTGGGGTTCGCGAATTCAATCCTTGGCCTGAGTCGGGCCCGACCAGGATTCAAGAAGTGGTGCCCGGTCGTTCACGATCAGGTTACCATTGGGTGCTGGTGCCTAGGTCGAATGCGATCAGGTCAAATTTGACCGTCTCAGCTTGCAGCTATACTGCTAAAAATTTCCCAGCAGGTTTCAAGAAGTGGTACTTGGTCGTTCTCGATCAGGCCACCATTGGGTGCTGGTGTCAGGTCAAATGCGATCAGGTCAAATTCGATCAGGTTCAGCTTAGATATACTGCTAAAAAGTCCCTAGCAGCAAATGAGACCGGCTTCTGGTCGATTCCGACCAGCTGCCCTGCTCAGATAACTCCCCTGCACAAAATCCCGAGCAGAGATTGAGGCCTGTATTGACTCGACAGGTCTCGAGTGGACAACCAGTGCTTGTATCGACTCGAGCAGGTTACTGGTGGGTGCGGGTGCCTGGTCGATTCCGGTCAGGTGCCCAGCGATTCTCCCTGCCAAAAGTCCCTGGCAGAGGCTGAGGCCTGTGTCGTTTTCGATCAGGTGGTCAGTGGGTGCTGGTACATGGGCATCCAGCTATCTTGTGTCCCTGCTAAAAATCCCTAGCAGAACATAAGTCCTGTATCGCATAGATCAGGGCTCATGTTGGGCACGGCGCCTGCCCCGTAGAGTATATGCGAGACTCGGGCGCAGTAAGGGAGCCTGGCCAATTGGGGTCAGGTGTCCTCGCATTCAAGGGCCTCCTTGATGACCTACAAAATCCCGAGCGGAGCATGAGGCCTGTATCGAGGCTATCAGGTCTCATGTAGATGCCGGGTGCCTGGTCGATTTCGGCCAGGCCTCCAGCGATGAGCTCGCACCTCACCGTGGTGCTGGAGTCTAGTAGCCAGGGCGAACTACCTATGGTGAAGCTAAGATGAGCTCTTTTTATGTTCATTACTGTGGAATGAATATGTGTGGGTAGATTGTACTTTGGGCTATTTGCGATGTACATGCGAAAGATACCTAGTGTGTGTATGGCCATTTACATTAATAAAATGCAATTAGTCGGGACAGATACTATAGTAGAACTCGACGTTCGAGGGTGGGATCCACCGATTATGCATAGAAAAGAAGAAAATATATTGGTTCTGATATATTCTTCTAGCCATGAACACTGGGAAAATAAGAGTTCCGGTAGTATAGCCAGCATTTGTAATGGCTGGCGTGGTGCTGTGCACTCGGGAAATAAACGGAAGTAAGAAAGGGATAAACAAACAAGAAGGCTTCCAATACTCACACTCAGACCCATGATACATCATTATGTGCTGATCTCTTGCATGGGGTGACTGCGCAAGATGAAGAAATGTTTAGACATGGCACTTTCAATGACCGTTCGACCCAGGTTATTCCCGGGGGTTTCTTCCCTTCACCTAACGCGCACTGTTGAAAAAAGGATTACCGACTTCCATGCAGGATAGTAGTTGAGTAGTCAAATTTATGAATTTATTTCCTTTGGGTGGGAAAGATCCTAAGGTATGGTTCAATTGTCCGATTTGAACTCTCTCCATCTTACCGACGTCAGTGAGAATAAATGGAGGTGTAGAAACCTATGAAGGTATATGTTGTAAATATCAGCTGAATGTAACCTCTATACCATGTGAGGGAGAACATGGCCTATTGGCGATACCCCGGGTCTTGCCTCCACAAGATCGGGATACTCCCCCGGAAGACCAACCTTAGCTATGAATGGGGCCTCGACTTTTCCGGCTGGATGAGGTAACATGCATCGTCATCATTATACAGTATTGATACTAGTCTTCATGACTAGCAGTCCCTGTCACCCTTTTCGAATTGGTTGATAGCCGCCTGTGAGCCACGGTCATTACTATCCAAAGCGATATGGATAGCCCCTGATGGCATTGGAATTGGCGGACAGGTCGTGTTGCAGAATTCTGCAGGGGGGTGAATATTCATCTACATCGTTGTTTGACTCCCTCGGTAATGGACCCTAGGATTGTCCTAAGAAGCTGATATTTACCTATCGATGGAACTGAAGAAAGTTAGGTCATTTTTTGTCATTGAATACTCTGTCACATGATTGTAGCCTTGCTTTGTGTTCCTCTTCTCTTTGCCTTCCTCAGTCCACCACACTTCGCGCATCTACCACCCGCAACTTACTACTACAGCAAGTCGTCAAGTTGCTTACTCCTTTGGTTCAGTATCATCTCTCTTCCTTCAGATTCCTTTTCTAAGATGACTGAAAACGTTGTTCGTGAGCGAGTCCTCTCGCTATACCACATTGTTACTGGAGAAGTCGAGGGCCCTAAGAGTGTGTCTTTTGTCTCAAATGAGCCTGGTTCAGAGGGAGATGTTTTGCCATCGTTCCTTCATGAACATAAAATCTCTATCTCTTCTTGGGATATCGAAGCGAACCTTACGGGCTCTCCAGTAACACCGGTGCCGTTCATCCAACAGCCTTATTTATTGCCGCACGACTCCCTTCCTCTAATCGAGCTTCTCTTCCCTGACTATAACCAATCGATTCGGAGAAGCTGGGCAGAAAGATACGGGTTGGTGGTGGCTGATAAGGCTGATTGGTCCGATGAATTGTGCCACTTCTTCGGTGAGTTGGCTCTTGCCACTCGACTCGGCCCTCGCCTGCACTCGAGCTTACCGGACATTTACAAAGTGCGGCACATAAGGTGAGTACAATACATGTCAGCTAAATCTTAAGAGACCACCATTCTTGTCCAATCACTAATACATTCAAATCTCCAGTCACCCTCATCCTTTCATGTTGTCCCACGGATCATATGGGTCTTTTCCCAATTTCGAAGATGTTTGGAAGATCGATCTTTGCCTTGAGCCGGATAGGCGAATCAAATCAGCACTCCCCCATATTATGTTGACTGCTTCCCAGCCAGCACAAGCTAGAGAGGGCTCCATTTTGTATGGGGAGCTTGCAGTGATTGTTTCTGTTATGCATGATCGTGCCATACAGCCTGAGGTAGGAAGCGAAGAGGAGATGAAGAAGCTGTCTCGAATGGATCTAGAAGAGCTTGATGAAGTAGTTGGTGAGAAGGCACCAGCCTTTCCAAATGAGCAGAAATTTCCACTCCTCCTTCTTTCCCTTGTGAACCCACGGCATGCAAGGATACTCTGTGCTTACATGTCTGACGATCTGCTGGTGGTTGAGATGTCGAAGATTTACAGCTTTGAGGAAAAGGAGTCAGCTCCCATCGGTCTGTTCCTATCCTGGCTGTTTGCTTCCCCCTCCCCCGTGGTGGAAACATGATTCTGTTTAAGCGCCCGTTCCTGATTAATAACCCAGAAGGAACCTGTGCCTGGTCGAACCCGATCAGGTCTCCAGCGATGATCCCGCACCACACCGTGGTGCTGGAGTCTAGTAGCCAGGGCGAACTGCCTATGATGAAGCTAAGACGAGCTCCCTCTTACCAATATGACCTGGGTCACCCTCAGCATCTGTGTAAGAGACACAATGCTGCGCAAATAAATAAATGAGACAGAGGACTAAACGATGATCTTGTAAGATGTTTCATATGGAGCATGTAGTAGAATGCCAAATGCCAATATGTGATCGAAATCGGCACGCATAAAGGGAACTCAGCGCCAACCTTCTAGTAAGACGGGTAAACTAAGTACGCCCGCAAAGTGAGAGATCAGCGTGACCGTCGACTCTTTCCATTTTCGGGGTACCGTAATACTAAAGCATACGGCTATATTCTTAAGTGAAGTATGAAGAACGGAGCTTACTGAGACCAGTGGGGTGTGTCGGAAGTAAACTAAGCCGCTGTGCCTGCAGTGAGGCGTCATGGAAAACTGCACCCGATCGCCATAACCGGCATGAACCATCATAATTGAGGTCTAAGTTTATAATGTCTCGCATAGCGCGGTAGGCGCATCAGTCAAAGGATGAAAAGAGCAGAACTAGGATGGTTCGGAAGCAACAATAGAGTAAAAGAGAAACAGGGGCAAACTCTAACAGTCTAACTATGACGAAGGTGGCAGCGACATCCCGGAGAGAGATAAGCCGGGAAGAACCAAGGGACGGCTGTGGCTGGATCAGGAACTCGAGGTCTACTCCAGTATCGGAGGATTTTCTCAGGGGTCCCGCCGGGGTTTTCCCTTGCTCGGAGAACATCCACCACATTAAAATGCGGAGTAACGATGAGGGGGAAAGTGCACGGCCGACGTCAGAGTTTCGCTTGGGTGGATCTGCAAAGGCTAGGCGGCTGACTAGCCCGATAGTAGTCCAGCACATGCCCTGAGGGTTCAAGACAACGGATTGGCCATCTGTTGAGAAGACTGAATTTTATCTCAATATCTTCCATAGATATGAGTTCTGTATCACTATCGACTCCGCATTGGTAAAGCGCAGGCACAAAACTTGTCAGCTGTTTGGACATTGCGACGCGAAGTTGAGGCAACATGTCTTGAGACACCAACCTTCTCCTCTGACGAGGGACTATGAGCCGAGCTTTGATGCGCCAAACTTTCTGTAGGACTGAAGAATGGGTGGATCGGCATGTCGTACGATCGGTTAAGGGACCTAAAATTGGAGGGCCGGGGAATTCTGGGGTTAGCCGTCGGGATTATTTCGGTACGACACAGACTCACTGTCCACTTGGATCTCAGCGTGGGTGCGGCTAAAAAAGATGGCACAGATGGTGGAGTGAGCAACTGGAGGGACTCGGGGAACGCGGAGGAGAGAGGTTTCCAAGACATCGTGGCAGGCAAGTGCATGCCCCGTGCAGTCACGCTTTTCCTCCCCCTTCTGTCTTCTCCTCCACATTCCACCTTCCACCTCCACTCTCCTCCACTGTTCCACTCTCCCACTGGCATCGTCCCTCTTCCTCGATTTCTTGGCTTCTCGGTTGATTGTCTTCGACTTCGTTGTAATGACCCCACCACATCCGCTGCTGCCTTGGTTGTTTACTGCCCCGGTTAATTTCATGAAGTCCGATCATAAAAGGCCTCGTATCCTCCGTTTGCAACAATGATACCAGGCGCAGCTTCCTTCAGACAGCCGGCAACATGGTGGCCTTCTCAGCTCTTTCGGGCGTCAGCGCTCTTTCTTTACTGCTCTCCCTCGTTCAGCATGCACATGGAGTTTCCTTGACGGTCTCCACCCAGGGTGGCAACTCATCCAGTCCCATTCTATATGGGTTTATGTTTGAGGTAGGCTGCAGAAACGGCGCCCATTGACAATGCATTCTTTAACGATGGTTTAGGATATCAATCACTCAGGAGACGGAGGAATTTACGGGCAATTGCTGCAGAACCCTGGCCTTCAGGGAACGACACCCAACCTGACTGCTTGGGCGGCTGTCGGTGATGCTACCATCGCGATTGACGGTGACAGTCCATTGACTTCTGCCATTCCCAGCACTATAAAGCTGGATGTTGCGGATGATGCTACCGGTGCGGTGGGTCTCACTAATGAGGGATATTGGGGCATCCCAGTCGACGGCAGCGAATTCAAGAGTTCCTTCTGGATAAAGGGAGATTACTCGGGCGACATCACCGTCCGACTGGTTGGAAACTACACCGGCACGGAGTACGGCTCTGCCACTATCACCCATACGTCCACAGCAGACAACTTCACCCAAGCCTCCGTCAAGTTCCCCACCACCAAGGCTCCAGATGGCAACGTCTTGTACGAGCTCACTGTTGATGGAAGCGTGGCTGCTGGTTCGTCTTTGAACTTCGGATACCTGACGCTTTTTGGCGAGACTTATAAATCAAGGTTCGCATTCCGATATCTGAAGAGTGAAATAGGGGCTGATTTTGTAGGGAAAATGGCCTGAAGCCCCAGCTTGCCAATGTGCTGGCTGATATGAAAGGATCTTTCCTGAGATTTCCCGGTGGCAACAACCTGTAAGTCCCAACTCATCTAGCAAGGATAGCGACGCTCACCAGAGACAGTGAGGGAAACAGCGCAGAAAACCGCTGGAAGTGGAACGAGACAATCGGCGATCTCTGGGATCGTCCCGGCCGTGAAGGTATGTCTCAACATCAGGAGCGAAACATTCATTCCTGACGGTAAATAGGCACTTGGACTTACTATAACACCGATGGTCTTGGTAAGTACAAATATATGCAAATATCTAACTACGGTACTAACGCTTGTAGGCCTCCACGAATACTTTTACTGGTGTGAGGATTTGGGACTCGTGCCGGTGCTCGGTGTCTGGGATGGGTTCGCTCTGGAGTCGGGTGGCAACACCCCAATTACGGGCGACGCACTGACCCCTTATATCGACGATGTTCTAAAAGAACTTGAAGTATGTTGAGCAACAAATCCCATTGATAGCTGAGGTTAACCCTACGGTAGTACATCTTGGGTGATACGAGCACGACCTACGGAGCATGGCGCGCTGCCAATGGACAAGAGGAGCCGTGGAACCTTACCATGGTCGAGATTGGCAATGAAGATATGCTGGGAGGCGGATGCGAGTCCTACGCCGAACGTTTCACTGCCTTCTATGATGCGATCCATGCGGCTTATCCGGACCTCATCCTTATTGCTAGCACCAGCGAGGCGGATTGCTTGCCCGAGTCGATGCCCGAGGGTAGCTGGGTCGACTACCACGACTACAGCACACCCGATGGACTGGTGGGCCAGTTCAACTATTTCGACAACCTGGACCGCTCTGTGCCATACTTCATCGGCGAGTATTCGCGCTGGGAGATCGACTGGCCCAACATGAAGGGGTCGGTTTCCGAGGCCGTATTCATGATCGGGTTCGAGAGGAACAGCGATGTGGTCAAGATGGCGGCGTATGCGCCATTGCTCCAGCTGGTGAACTCGACTCAGTGGACGGTAAGTCACTGTTGCGCAGCGGTGTCGGATGGTATAGATGAGCTAACGAGTGGTAGCCGGACCTGATCGGATACACGCAGTCACCTGGTGACATTTTCCTTTCGACCAGCTACTACGTGCAGGAAATGTTCTCGCGCAACCGGGGTGATACAATCAAGGAGGTGACCTCTGACAGCGACTTTGGACCGTTGTACTGGGTTGCGTCGAGCGCCGGCGACTCGTACTACGTGAAGCTGGCCAACTACGGCTCGGAGACGCAGGACCTGAGCGTGAGCATCCCAGGAACGAGCACGGGCAAGTTGACGGTGCTGGCGGACAATGACCCCGACGCGTACAACTCCGACACCCAGACGCTGGTCACGCCGAGCGAATCGACGGTGCAGGCGAGCAATGGTACATTTACCTTTAGTTTGCCGGCATGGGCGGTGGCTGTCCTGGCTGCGAACTAGCGTTGACTGGTGCTTGCATGGGCGGCAAGTCGAAAATTATCTGCAGATGTGATGTCGTGTATTGCAGTATTCTGATTAACGATAGGGGGGTCTTGAAGATGAAGCGATGATAGATCCATGTTATATACCTGCCTGTATATAGGGCATCGTCCAATGAGAGGCAACGCCACCACACGTGGCGATACACATATTACCTTAGTACTACTTACTATAAGTGCTAGCCAGGAAGGAGTAGCAGAGGACGACTGTGTGTCTCTAAGTGTGACTGACTGCTATGTAGCGGTCGGTCGGGGAGGACATTTGAGTACCGCCAACGAAGAGTATCACCCAATCCCCGAATGTGTACCTCCGGATCACTTTATACTTTCTTCCTGTCATGGCTTCCAACGACACAACAAAAGAATCAATGGATACGATGAAAACAAGGCACAGGTGAGCGAAGGAGAAAACAAGCGGATTGGTTGGTTGTGACTGGATGCAAACGGGCGGCCTTCTCCACTTGAACTGGGCAGAAGCGAAGACCGTGCGCCGAGACGGGTTCGGGCGCCTTCCGTCTGCAGCTCCCCTCACTTTTCCAAGTTCTCTTTTACAACTGCTGTTTCCCTCCACTTCTCCTTCTGCAATACTGTAATCATGGTTTGACAAGTGCTGACTACTACTATCTCATACAGGGATTACTAGTAGTACTGTCTGCTGGATCTCAAGTCCACCAAACATTGTCTGGTGGTTCCCATCCCGAGTGTCATCATGGAAAGACACTACTGCATTCTACTTACATTATAGAAATCTCCCCACCTGGCCTGCCATTCGCTGCGGCGGCCCACTCCGCGATAAGGAAATCTGAAGTTTTTTTGCTTTAGTTGCTTTTTAGTTTCGCCCTCGCGGTCTGGCCTCGTCGGCCTGCTTTAAATCTCCTCTCATCCCAGCGTCCCGTTTCTGCTTTCTTTTCTCTTTTTTTCTTCTTTGCGCCCCTTGGTCCTGGCAGTGAACGACTTCGGAGCT